GCCCCCGCGAGAGGCGCGGAACGCGGGGCGCGCCCGGCCTCCGCCAGCCGCAGCCTGACGTTGCCCTCCTGGCGAACGTCGGGTACAGAACATAAGATACGCTGTTTTCCCACTGTCTGTGGGGTAGAAAAAAATAATGGGACATTTCACAAGCGGCAGATGCCCAGACCTGATGTTTCAGGTGAGCTTTATGGAAAGAAGACAGGGGCTTCTCGCATCACTCTGCATGTCAGCACAGGCCTAGCTATAGCATTTTTTACTCTGGCAGGTTGGTTAAACATAATAAAGCGTTTCCCCCCGTGAAAGCTTAAGTTTCTACATGAAAATAAGAACATTTTGGGTTGGATTTCTTGCCAACTACGCCTGCTTAGCACTACACAAGCAACAGAGAGAAGGTTTATTTGGGCTGTAAATGGCCACCAGGAATCCCCCGATACAAATGAATTCCTGGCTTTGGAAGCTGCAGAGTTTCACTCACACTTGTAAAAGGAGCCACTTGGAAAAGACACTTGTAAAACACAGAGAAGACAGGGGATATTCTGGGGACAGGGAAGACTGCTCTCAGCAATACCTAACCCTGAGTTTATTTAAAACTATGTATTGTTTGTGTAAGGTTATGTCTAAACCATATCTTGCATTTCCCAGTTTCTGGGCAGTTATGTGCTCCGCCTGCATCACACATATCTGTTGTTTGGGAACGAAACCTCTGACTTGAGGGCCAGATAATCCAAATGCAAACCCTTGTCACAGATCATCACAAAAACCTTAATGGTCATCTAAAAGTAATAGGAATGAAGAACTGAGTATCACTTAACAGAACTACTTGCATTTCCACTGCTAACATAATATGTAAACCAACTTTAAACATACAGGTTAGATTCCAGTACTGATTTTTTCAGAAATCAAATAATTCACTATATTCCTTATTTTAGGGCTTTCCAAAATAGACTACAGAGTTCCCTTTGTGAGCTGTAATTACACCATTTCATTATTTGTCATGCACTGGCAGTGTCTAATTTATGAGACTGTCACTTGCTGAATATTTCATTTTATGTGCATTCTGAGCAAATAAAATTCCTCTTAAAACAAAGCTGAGTAAAACAGCATTGTACTTCAGAGTGGTGGTTAAAAAGTATTTGATCTGCGTATCACAGATGTGAAAAGTAACTTTCAGAAAATTCTCCTTTTTATAATTCTCCTTTTTATAAATCAGATCAAAGGTCTTTCAGGTCCACAAACAGGTTTGTCTAATACAGTCTGATTTCTCTTTCTTAGAATGGTTACAGAATTTCAGATAAATTATGTATGATGTCAGAGCAAGGCAGTCATCCATCAAGGGTAAATGCTTGCAAAGCCCAAGCTAAGTAGGTTTGAGATAAGCTGGTTTTAAACTAGCATTTTTACATGGCTGTTGCAAGAGAGCAAGGCAGTTAGTGGATGCCAGCAAAGAATTTGCCAAATGGCTGGAAAGAAAGCTTTCCAAAATATCCAAATGGCAGCTTACAATTCCAAACACACCAGAGTGTCCCATCTTGCTTGTAAACCTCTCTTGTGCAACAAAATATTACAGTATATTCCATTTATAAACTCATGGAAAACTTATGTTATTTCAGACTCAGATTATTAGAACTGTACAGATACTTTCCTAGTTTATTTTTAAAGAAGTGACTGAACAGTCACATCCTTTTCTAATTTCTATAGTTCCCGCTTCCATTTCAGTTTTTAAACAACCAGATTTATATTTGCATACTATATGTATTCCACTTGATAATAATATCCCACAGGACAACTATACTCGCAGGTATCCCTTCAGAAAGGAGAATGCCATTTGACTCAAATAAAACAAGAATCAGGATTCCAAACCTACTATCAGTTCTAATATCAGTGCAAGTCATTTTCAAAACATTTTGCATTTTATATAAGCATAGTTATATGTACATGTTCCAAATTAATTACTCAAGCGTGTCCAGAGAAGGGCAACAGAGCTGGGGCAGGGTCTGGAGCACAGGTCTGCTGGGGAGCGGCTGAGGGAACTGGGGGGGTTCAGTCTGGAGAAGAGGAGGCTGAGGGGAGACCTCCTGGCCCTCTGCAACTCCCTGACAGTAGAGTGCAGGGAGGAGGGATGAGTCTCTTGAGCCAAAGCACAAGCAACAGGACAACTACAAGTGTTCTACATCTGTATGGATTTGTACTTCAGTGCTCATAGAAGCTTTTTTTTTTTTTTTTTTAAGGAGGTCTCCCTTCTGTGTGAATTCTCTGGCCTTCATAAAATGTGAACTCACACTGCAATGTTTTCTTCACTTGGGACATACAGAACTGCCTGTTTCCGTGAAAGAAAATTGCAAGAGCTCAGTTATCTTTGAGACCGTTATTTTTTCATTGTGGTTGGTAGAAAGCCAGCAATAGCACAAGTGGGAACTCTTTCAGACTCTTATGTCCCATAGTTAGAAGAGAGATTAAATCAACCTATTTGTCAATCTGAGAAGAGGAACTCAAGAGGCCATGGGATATCTATGTCCAGCAGACAGAGCACAGTTATGATTAGAGGGCTGCTAAGGAGCCCAAATTGCCACGCAAACTCTGCTATGGGAAGCAGGCAAGTTTGGTCAAGTTCAGGCAAGTGGTAAGGAGAAGGAGAAAGGAAGCAGGACTAACAGATCAGCAGTCAACGGGTGTACTGAATGGCCAGCAGCAACAGGTGTCCTTTACTCACGTATCATGTGGGCAGGGCAACCGTGAGTCAGACAGACACTCAGAGTACGCAGTTTCCTGGGTGCCAGATGGCTTGTCTGGGTGTAGCCTGGCAGCAGCTGATGAAGACGTTCAGTCACTGTGAGAGAAACATGCAGATGCAGCATAAGCTTTTTTCCCAAGCTAAGAAACAAATGTCTATTTTTTTTAGTAGTATTATTCTAAAATCAACTATTTATGATTTTGGATGGCTGGCTCATTTTCAACTGTCTCATACAACAGCTGTGGCCATACTTCTAAGGTTTCTTACAAGCACGTGAATGTCATCATGTTGATACTAGTGTAAGAGTCAAATATCTGGTTGTCTTGGCAATTCAGACTTTGCAAACTTCTGCAACTCAAACTTTGTATGGTCACCTATTTCCTTTACACTTCCATTTCTTCACTAGCTGTGTGAAGTAAAGGAATTATTGAAGCCAAACCCCCCTGAAGTTTATGAACGGAGCATTTATTCATTTACCAAGCTGGGAGGACCTAGTGAGGACAGCACACTTGCCTCAGAACTACCCCATCTCTCACATGTTTTGGGAGATATACCTTTACCCTGCCTGCTTTGTTACACAAAGGACCTTGTTCTTCAGTTGCTACATTTCCAGTGCTTCCCTACACTGTAAGGATATTTTTAGATTTAAATGTCTTCAGACTAGACTCCAAGTATTTTAACCTAGACTTACCTTTCAGCTTCAGGTCCTGGAATCTCTCAAAATAAGCTCAAATTATTTTACACACTAAGATTCTCATTTCTGCTGAGTAATGCTTGTTTTGACCTCCAGTTATCTGTCGTGGGCTCTTTACCCGGTAAGGAGTTTTTGTTGATTTTTTGGGTTTTTTTAAGTATATGCAAGCACCTGAACCGTGTCGCTCCACTGAAGGACGGCCATTGTTGAAAACACTTCTGACAGGGATACACCGGCAGCAAACTAACTTACCGGGTGTCATCTTTGCACCAGGATCACGGCGTTCTGGTCTCGAACCAAAGTTTTCTACATTAAAGCGCTTTCTGAGGAGGAGTTCTGAAGTAAGCGCTGTCGAAGGTGGCACTCCCGGGGCACCTCGCGCCGGCCGCCCCGCCGCTGAGGCGGGCTGAGGCGAATGAGAGTGGGGCTGAGACGGGCTGAGGCGAGGGAGGGCTGAGGCGGGCTGAGGTGAGTGAGAGTGGGGCTGAGGCGGGCTGAGGCGAGTGAGGCTGAGGCGGGCTCAGGCGGGCTGAGGTGAG